TTTATCAACTGAGCTATTTTGTCAACCCCTGTCTGACATTGCTAATGATTCAAGTGGTGACCTCGTTGTCCCTATCTGGGACAGACTTTATTGTAAAGAGACCCTTCCTTGGGCCCCCATAACTTATTACATTGTTGTGGGGCTTTGGGTACTCTGAATGGAAGGTGCCCAATGGCAGTGGCTGAGGGGACCCAGGCCTTTCTGCTTGGGACAGAATGGACACATCTGCATATGTGGCATGCTTGCTTCACCCCTGTCTGGTGTTTTCTTTTGAAGTTACAACGTTACACAGTTCATTTAGAGTAGTAGTTCTCAGCCTGTGGGTCACGACAACTTTAGGCAGAAATTACAGGTGGCCATGCCTACACAGCACTTATGTGGGATTTGGGGAATGTGAACTCTAGTGCTCATGTCTGCATGGCAAGTGCTTTAACCACCAGGCATCTCCTGTTGACACTTCTCCTGCTCTTTATCCCCCATGGGGAGCATCTGAGTCTTCACATCATGTCATTCCTTAGGTCTGGGAACATCCTGCAGCATGGCTGGTGCTGCAGTGAGTTAGCCTAGGTTTGCCTTCCTTTTGTTTACCTCGTTTAAGCTGAAAACATCCATTTGTCTCCATTCTTAAAGGGAGACTGGGCACAAAGTTCCAAGCTGCTGTGGCTCTGATTGTGCCCATTCTCACCACTAGTATGTCCCACCATCCCTCAGCTCCATCATTCCTGCTGATAGTTGGGTAGCCATTTGGAGTACGGCTCATACTGCTCTTTGATCTGGGTTTTTAACACCTTGTCTCTGATTTTGTATTTATCCTTCTTTGGATCTTCTAAGTTTCTTAAACCCACAAATTTAGGCCTTCCACCAAAACTTACACACACACACACACACACACACACACACACACACACACACACACACACACACAATTCTTTAATTAAAATTAATCCTGATCAGGAATTCTTTAAAAATTAGTCATGGTCCTCAAAAACAATGGAAATAATAATAACAAGGCAAGGAAAGTCTGGAAAATTATCACAGCTCAGAGGAGACTTGGGGGTAGGTGACTAAGTTTAACATGGTGTCCTGAATGCAGTCTGGATGAAGGATCGTAAGTAGAAAACTAAGGAACTCTAAAACACCAGAAACTCAGAATGAGTGACCAGTATGTTCTCACTAAATGATGTACAAAGGGAGAGCTTAAGGCAGGATGAAAAAGATGAGTCAAATTTCAAGCAAAGAGGAAGAGAAGGAGGAGGGAGAGGTGGAAGAGGATATAGTGACAGACAGACATACAGCTAGTGTAAATATGTATGTACAGGTTGCTAGGTCAGGTTAATTACAGCACAAAAGACAATGTCCCACAGGATCTTAGATTATATGTAAAACTGAAGTATGTGGCAAACTACCACAAAATAGATGATAAAGTGCTATTGACACAAAACCCACAGTTCTTATCTAAAGGAATGAGAGTTTATTCCAGAGCCATTCTGAGTGACCATGATCCAGAAACAATGATTTAGACCACCCCAAGTTCCATGTTCCTACAGGGAGGCAGTTTCATGAAGTTTTTATAATTTTATAGAACAAAGAAAGTTATGAATGAAGGCAACTTTAGAATACATTGGTGGGGGTACAATGAGATGGTGTCGGGGAGCCATTGTACTCACTCAAGATGCTACTCATGACTGAACTT